ATATATAACTTTTTAATTCGACGAAACAAACCAGCAAAAAATAAGCACTACTCCACTCTAATGCGTCTAGATGTAGGTGAGAAGTTTTTCGCAAATTCTATAGCAGATAGAACAGATAGAACACATATGATTATATTCCGAAAGGTGTTTGCGTTGCACTGCACAGGTAAAATGCTCTATTTTTTTGCACGTATGATTGTACTAAGGTACTTACCCAGAGGGATTAATGATAAATAAACTATGTATCATTTTGATACATTCATGAGTGGTAGAGTTCAGATCCTATGTCACTATGCTATTTAAATGGTTCTCCTCACAGATGATAGTCACTTCGCACATTAACACACGCAGAGACGCATCACAACCTATTGAAAGCGTTACCTGACTAGAGCTGTCGTGCGTTGATGACTAGATGTGCATTTAGTGGAAGCGTATGCTCCGCTATGAAGTGAACCGGACCCGATATAATGAACGCTAGCATCGTCAATCTAATCTACACTACAGTGCTAAACATGAAAAGATATTGTATTCAATTCAATTGCCTAAAGCATATATTATTGCGGATATGAAAATAGCATCTCTATCAATTTGTGTTTACAACTAGTCCAAAAATCGAATCTCGGTTCATGTCTGTTTTAGCGGTGGCCCCGTGTTGGGTTTGGGCAAGTAAACGGGGTAGACACTCAAACTTCAGTTGGCACTGTTCCATCATCCGGCTGCTGTGCGTGTTGTCCTGGAATGGGGCTAGCTCTAAGTCCAAAGGATACGATGACAAGATCCTTGACACGGTAAAAGACAACAAACGCAAGTCTTGTAACGCTCAACGACTGCGCTATTGACAGTCCAGGCAGCCTCGTACTCTCGACCCCGTATTTAAAAACCGTTTCGGTCTGCGGGTCCCGCATAGATGTCTAGTCAATACGGAGCTCATCTATCGCATGGCGCGGCTACCCGCCCATCAATATTTGCGGTGCTTGCCCAAGAAAATCTATCGTTAGGTTTACGGACAGCTGTGAGATACGTGGCGCACTTTAGCGCGCAAAGTTGGCCATCAAGATGGGGCTTCCTTTACAAGTATGCAGATGAAGTCACTTTGGCGATGGATATTTTCATGCAGTATCATCACCTCAAAAAGTATAATGCATCATTCGCCGAACATTTCTATGGACTGGCCAGAGAGGGCAAGATTAAACTATTCAGGTATCTGTTTGCATATAGACGTATAGAAGGAACTTGAGCAATTTTGATTGATGGCTTTTAATGTACTGATATTAAGGTAGCAAATACTGCAATATCAACGTAGTTGAGAATATTAAAAGGTTCTACACATTCTGAGGTTCATCGTTTTACCTTGTCTTGAAATCACAAGCCATCTTATAATTTTTTCATGAAGTCGCACATGGGCAGATTGCTCTTCTGCCAATAATATTTCCAAATAAATTTCCTGTATGTTTGTTCCCGAGACAAAACACTTTTACAAGGCAAAGCAATCCAACATTATCCGTAGCTACCATGATAGACTAGAACACAAAGTTCAATTGCTGTGATAATTCTTTGGCCAAGAAATTCCTTCAGCTGATACATATACAACACTTTAAGTAGATCCACAATTGTTGAGTGTATGCATGGGTGCAATCACGATTTTATTAGTAGGACCTCTTCTTAGGTTTGCTCTATTTACAGAGTATTTATTTTTGAGAAACGCTTGCGATGTAAGATAGTCTAAGTTGATTCAGCTCAGAATTCGCCTGTGAACTTCATGATCATTAGTTCTGTTTTGTATTCACACCGAACTGTCGTCTTTGGATTTTGTTCATTAACAGGTGTCTGCTTCTTCTATCGATGCTTCCATATCTACGCTCGAAACTGGATCAGCTCTACCAAGATTGGAAGCTTGAAGCAGCTGATCAAGTCCAAAATGGCCACCAGCGCCTTCGTAGCTTTTATCTTCGCGTCTATCCCTATGTGCATTTTGTTCTTGAGGGTTCTTACTTTGCCTCATCGTTGTTGTTTGCTGTAGGCAAAAGTAATTATCATTCGCTACCTTCATTTCTGAGCGGCACTCCGCTGGAATACTTTAGCCGAGAACGACATCTACAGCGAGCTTCTCTGTTATCTATAAAAAGCGTGGCTTGGTATCTAGCGCCTTTTATGATCACTGGACGCGTACTGGCCCGTGCAGCAGACCATGCAACTACAGCATTGATGACAGGCGCTTTCTTGTTGCAGTTCCTTGAATGGTGGTATCAGAAAAACGACCTTAGTCCGTTACACAGGGGAACAGCTGTACCGCCCTCGCCCACTTTGGAGCAACTCGCTGAACGAGATGGTTGCTCTGGATTTGGTGGGCGACCACTTCCCAGGGGCATATGCCCTCTATGCAAGGAGCCCGTCATCAATGAGACAGTTCTTGCGACAAGCGGGTTAGCCTTTTGTTACTCATGTATCTTTAAGCATCTTCTCGAACACAACTCATGCCCGGTTACTGGCTATCCTTCCAGTGTAGAGGCGCTCATTCAGGTGTATCAGTAGGCCGGTGTTGAGTAGGCGCATCGATAGATCGACCTTAACAAAATATAAATCTCCCATGCTATTTCACACAAAGGAACTGAACCTGCACAATAATGGCAGCAGCCTTTGGTAGTTACTGAGAAAAAAAACTAGGACCAGTTATGTAGAATGTACCAAATACAAAATGTGATAACTTCTACGAACGCTCATTGGCTAACAGGCCTGATACTAACATAATCTGATATACCCTTATATAGTGTGAGATGGTTGCCGTCCTGTACCGGTAGCAATTTCTATTATAATTTCGATATTTTATTATTGCAGTAACCCCATATCTCAACTTGAATGGATGGCAAAGGTGTGATTAATAACATAAGTCCCTAGAAATCAACAGTTACAATGCTACTTGTGATGATACGGCCCAGCGCAAGCTGCGCGTCGTACTCCAATACGTGGATTATGCGTTCATTCTGTTTATCACTATGATTGAATGTCGCCTTGTCTATATGACAAAGCAAAACTGTTCGCTCCGTTTGTTCGTTAAAAAACGCGAACGCACACTGCAAATAAAAGTAGTGATAGTGCTGGTGACGTGAATGATAATAAAATGTAATATAATTCGCATATATTTGTTCATAAACAGAGTAAGGTAACTATTACGAATTAGAGCACTCGCGATGAAAGATAATGTACTGTGGAAGCAGTCGTTAGTAGCGCCTTGCATCGGAGGCCTGCAATGGTGATACCAAATCGACTGAGCTAGATAATAAAAGACTGCGTAATCATCGACGTAATAACGTTGCCTTCATTTAGCAACGAGTGTTAAATATAAAACCTCGACTTTAAATATAACACTAATCAGTAACATGCGCATAGGCACACTGTATTGTTAGCGGCGATTATCATGGCCACGATGTAGCTATTCAAGGTCAGAGTACAACTTAGACAAAGTGTGTATCCGTTCAGATTTTTTTGGCTCTTCTAATTATTATTATTCTTGCAGCACTCCAGCCATTATCGAACACCTGGTATATGAAGTCATCTTTATATACCAAGTGTTTATACCAGATACGGTTTACTGGTTAGTATACTTAGTTTAAAGATCATGCCCTTTCAAAAAGAAATTATTGCTTTATACTGCTCGCAAAAGATTAGACACCTGTTTCAAAAAAATTTCAACTCTTTAGCAGTACAATGCACTAAGGATGTACTTATTGGTGCTATTGCAAATAGGTAAGTAAACAGGCTGATAAGTTTGTCACAAAAGTGCTATTAAAAGGATACATCTATAGAATTATATAATAACAAATATAAAATGTTAGCATACTAATACTATAATTCAATACATAAAAACGCACTAGTGGTCAATATTCAATATATGAAGACTAAAAACAATGGCACATACACTTTGTTTTGTTATTATTACACCTTCATGATTTTCAAAGTTAGCCTGACCGGTCATAAATTGCTCTAATATCTAATCTAATAATTATCATCATAGTAATTCTATAGTATTGACTGCAGAATCATTTAGCTTTACACATTGTCCCAGCCTGAAGACTTCATTTTTACTGTATTTTCAGTTCATATTTCAACATGCTCCTTAATACTATGCATGCTTGGCGGACTACTGACTATTGTCAAATGATAATAAAAAAGAACAACACTGATTTT